TACAGATGTCATATTCTATCAACTTTATTCATCAAAGCAGAACTCCCATCAAAGCAGTTTCACCAAACTGCCAGTATAAGATGTTCTGGATCATTTATTAACAGTCCTTCCATTTAGGGAACTCGAGAGACAACAACTAGTGTTCATCCCTGTGCCATGCTCCTACAACTGCCCATCCTACAGAGGTCAGTGGGACAGCTACAGCAACACAAGCTCATGGGGGAAAAGACTCAGAGGGATTCTGCACTGTGATCCACCAGGATGGACAACTGCCTCTGTCTGCAGAACATGGTCAAAAAAGAGAATATCAAAGAATTCTTTCACACAGAAATTTTACTCAAAACAAAACTACTAACCGAGGTAATTTTAGTGCTTAAACAACTACTTTTTTGGTTTTCTTTAACAAGGGCCATCTAAACAACAAAAACTCTTTAGAGCATGGAATAGAAATGGAGAATTACACTATCTCAGCCTCCCCCAGTAGCCTTACTACCTTGGGACAGAGTAAGAAATCATCATTAATTCCCAGAAATTCCCTGGCATCCAGAACAGCCCCATGAGAACAGTGGCAGTCGCTGCAAGGGAGCAGAAGCCAAGAGGAACCTCCCTCCAAGGTCTCTCTTCTAAAGGCCACAACACAGCCCAGAACGGGGCCTCTGCTCTGCACCAACAGTCAGGACTGAGCATCATCCCTGTGCTGCTGCTCCAGGCACAGTCCAGGCTGGAGACACACGGTGATCAGCTGCCTACAGAGGAACTTCAGATTCCTCTCAGCCTTAGCTACAGCATGACAAGGGGCAGGCAGCCTCTTAAGAACACAGAAAGCACAGAACATCTTATTCCCCTTGTAAATACTCACACCTAAATGTGACCAAGCTAGAAAATTCAATATTCAGAATTCAAATACATGTGATTCAGTACACCTTGAACTCCCGAGTACCAAACAAGCACATTCTGCAGGAAATCTAACCACTTCCACTGCTGGATGTAAGAGAATTGCTCAGTTCACAGATGGATCAAGTCTGAGATTCTTCCAGTCTCAAAGTAAGAGACTACTGGAAATAACATAAAATAGTCACAACAAAAAACAACACAAATACGTGGGATCCAATACTGCTGTAAGAGGTAAAATAATTCATGGACAAGTTTTAAAAGTGAATAATATGTGCTTAATAATATAATTATCAGAACCCCTGGATCTCCTCTAACTTCTTTAATTGGAGGAATTGAAAGTACTTCCAAATAATTAAACTCAATGAGGCCATCCAAATGGTTTGTATGATTGCTGAAAACCTCCAAATTGCAGCTTCTTATAGAAATGGTTTCATGTGGATTTGTTTTCATTTGACTGTAGATATTCCATTCTGAAAATTTTCTGTTGACTTAGCAGAGAAATCACAGCCAACATTACTGCTTTCTTTTTCAGAATCAAGAAACACCTAAGAATTCCTGTCTTCCTGTCCTATCCTTTGTGGGCTTTTCAAGCAAAAAGCATCATCCCATGATGTAAGGTTCTCAATGTTAATTAAAGCAAATATCAGAGTCAGATTTGATTTAAACTAACATGAAGAGAATTAGAATTCACTATTATTATTTGGAGGAAATAGCTGATATTTTCAAAAACAGTTCTCGCAATTCTGATTTGGTCATTCAGACACATGATGCTTTGTGAAACTTTCAACTGGTTCATGGGAACTGAAGTTACAGTCACAGGAACTGGTAATGAGTTACGAAATTAATGAATTTTTATTGCTAAATTAAGACCTACCAGCTTTTCTCATCAGCCTGCCCTAAAAAAGGAGGACGCTGGTGAAACTGGAAGGACAAAAGAACCATTGTTCGAAAAATACAGCCATTTTTACTATGACAGAAGCAACAATACACTTGAAGCTATCACAGCACTTTAACCAACACAGTAAATTCAGCACATACCTTACAACAGAGAGAAAAGCACTACAAGAGCATTAAGCAAGGTTAGAAAATATCAGAATTAAATTGGTCCTTGCCAACACCATGCATGTACAGTGAAGTCTTCCCTGTCAAAGCTACAGACATACAAGTTCTTCTGGGCCCAGGAACTACTGCCTCGAGCACAAGCCAAAAAGCCTTACAATTCCTGAAATTCCATGGCACTTTGGAAAGCACCCCCCTCTCAGATGAGGCAAGCAGCTCAGAGTATACAAAAATACAGGTGTATGGAATTAAGGGCTACACTATAAACCACACAACAAAAGTTAAACCTGACTCTGCAGTAACCTTCAGCACTTTACACCTGATTTTCCAGTGTGTACAAAGTTGCCCGTAAATAACTTTGGGCATTTCTTCCCACTCTGCATCCTAGAACTCACAAACCAAAGCCTGAGGTGCTGCACTCCTCTGTCAGGGACTGAACAGGGCACAAACATGGACAGGCAAATGTGGGGTGTGCTGGACCACAGCTACGAGCAGCAAGACACCCCTGAAGTAAACACACTAAGCTCACTTATGACAGAGGTCACAAAGAAATTACATGGCTCAAGACACAGACAAGAACATTGGGGCTTTTGGCAAATATCCACAAACCAGACTGCACAAACTACATATAGATATCAAATTTTCACACATTTGTATCTCAATCAACTCAAAATGTGTTTCAGAGCAGAAGACAACACAAAGCAATCCCATGCCCACATGGTTATGTACGTGCTTCAACTCTCTCATTTCCCTCCTACTTGTGAAAAAACCCCAAGCTTGTACATCTGTATTAAACAATCTTAAACTCTATTTGAAGCCAAACAGGATTATGATGCTTACAGGAATAACAAAAATCATATGAACATACAGAAACTTTGTCCTGACGCACACCCAGTGACAACATTCCAAGTAGTTCCGTAGCCTGGGCTGCACCTTCCAAAATTCCTTAAGCTACACAGTTAATACCAATAACTGTCACTCACATCCCTCAAACCCCCCATATCTTTGACTTTTTGCATTTTGATGCCACCACATCACTACTGACCTAAATCTCCATCTCACCCCTCTCGCAAAACCGAACACTGATGCACACAAAGGAAAATCAGCGTTAGACCTGTTAAGATGAAGGAACAATTCCTCTCAACTCACTTTAACCTTATCACTAGGAATTTGGCTGTCAGCCAGCCAGAGTCCACACTACTCGTTATCCTGCAATACCAGCCAGCACCTCGGAGCACAGCCAGCCTCAGGAACCACACACCGGGCTGAGACGCGAAACGCCCAAGCAAGGGTCGAGCTTTCCCCGGGCCAGGGGCGACGCTGGGGAAGCGCTCCAGCAGCTTCCCCTCCGCCCCCTCCCCCGGGGTCGGGCAGCGCCGAGGCCACGGCAGCTCCAGCCGATCCCAGCCCTGGCTCCGCCTGAGCCGCGCTGAGGACCGCGCCCCGCCTCGCCACTCCAAGGGTGGAAGCAAATAAGCGCTGCGCAATGAAGCGCTGAGCGCTCAGCGACTGCACATTCCGGGCGCTCGGCGGCAGGGAGAGACCGGGGGGCGCTGCGGCCGCGCCCTAGGGCAAACCTGCGGCCTGGGGGCCCCGCCCGGCCCGGCGCTCACCTACGGCCCGGCCCGGCCCGGTCCTTACCTGCGGCCCGGCCCTGCGGCCCGGCCCTGCGGCCCGGCCCCGCGCTCACCTACGGCCCGGCTCGGCTCGGCCCGGCCCCGCGGTCACCTGCGGCGCGGCGCAGCCCGGCCTGGCCCGGCCCGGCACTCACCTGCGGCCCGGCCCCGCGGCCCGGCCCCGCCTAGGCCCACGCCATGGCGCCTTCCGTGCGCTCGGCGCCCGCGCCGGAAGTTCCGCCTGACGGCGCTCGGCCGCAGGCGCCGCTCCGAGGCAGCCCATTGGCCTCTCGGGCTGTCACTCAGCCAAGGAGGGGCGGGGCGTGGCTCCACGTTAGACCCGCCCGCCGGGGGAGGGCGGTGCCGCTCCCGCCCCGCCGCCAGGGGGCGCGCGGCGCCGGGCGGGGCCACAGCGGCGTCTGAGGGGGACCCGGCCCCGGGGCCCCGCCGTGCCGGGGGGAGCCGTGCCGGGACCCTGCTGTGCCGCGACGGAACTGCCGCAGCCTGCGGTAGGAGACAGTGAGGGGCATGTGTGCGTGCAGTTCCTACGGCTGGGGGATGTCTTGTCCTAAACAGCAACGCCGAACTCGGCCGAGAAAGGAGACAGAATTAATCTGAGCGTACGGACCCCCACCGGCCTCTCGGGAGCTTGTACCTATTTCCCAGCCGTAACATTGCGAACACTTCCCGTAGATGTATCTATGGCAATTTATAAGCTTATAAATTGAAAAAATGATGCTGGAGTATGTCTATTGGCAGGCACAGCATTTCACCTGGGCCCGTGACTGTCGGCCGCGTGGAAAAGCACAGCGTTGTCTGAGGAAAAGCCAGTGTCTCCATCTGGTAACAAAATGCAGTAACGTGTTTCTCCACTCGCTATTCTGTTGTAAAACGAACCCTTCAAAAGTTGACCAGCCTTTCTGTTTAATAAAGTGAGCTATTTCTTAAAGGAAAGAAGAGTTACGAGAAGATGTTATGCATCATTTTAGTAACTTACCACCCTGTTTTTGTTTTTTCTTTATTTAACATGGTAGGAACACGCATTTTGCTGTAGTTTCAGCACACTGGAGCAGCAGCACCAGCGTTTGGGCGACACAGCGCAGCGAGATCCCTTCGTTACCGGGGCTGTAAATGGAAATGGGCTTGAACCGCAGATCTACAGATAGCAGAACTATCTGTAGGAAGCACAGGAAACACAGAATTATAATTTTATTCTGTTGCAGCAACACGTACTTGGAGGGGGACCCGTCACCCCGGTCACCCCCAGTGGAGGCTGTCCGGCACCATCCCCGGCCGGTCCCGGGGCAGCCCCTCCTTGGGGGCGGGAGCGGCCGCGCCCCCGGGACGGCCCCGCGCAGCCGCCGCCGGAGCCCCGCCCGTGCCCGGCGGAGGCGGATCCCCGGCGTTGTTGGATCGCCGGCGGTGGTGGATCCCGGCGGTGACGGCTCCCGGCGATGCTGCTGGTGCTGTCGGCGGAGCACCGGGCGCACCTGGGCTGCTTGCCGCGGGCGGGCGGCGCAGGTCGGGGCCGCGAGGGGCGGTGGGGGCCGGGCTGGGGCTGCAGCGCGTCCTGCAGCGGGGTCTCTTCTCTCTCGTTGCAGCCGTGGGCGAGCTGGGCCGCCTGGCGTTGGAGCAGCTGCGGCGGGGAGCGGCACCGCGGGCCTGCGAGGCCGCCGCCAGTGAGAGCCGGGCCGGGACCGGGGGGTTCCGGGGCCGTGGGCAGCGGGGGGATCGGACCGTGGGGAGGGCGGGCCCGGGGGGTTCCGGGACCGTGGGGAGGGCGGGACGGGGCCGCGGCCGTAGCGGTTCCGCGGCAGGAGAGCGGGGAGGGCGGTGGGCTCCGCGCCGAAGGACCCCCGAGCCCCCGCTGCACGGCGGTGCGGGGCCGAGGGAACGGGGCCGAGGGAAGGGGGCCGGGCTGCGCTCCGTGCCCGCTGCGGGGTCCTCCTTACCGACACAAACCCTTCTCTGTACCATGCCGTAAGAAACTGGTGTGAGTCTTTCTTAGTTTTTTTGTTTTGATGGTTTGGTTTTAGGGGGTCTCTAACATGTACATTATTATTTGAAGGGCGTGAAACCCTCTTTTTTTTCTTTTCTATGCATATTTTGCAAGTTAGTGTTGGATAAGTTTGCAGTTTCGGGTCTCGTTTCTGTAGTAGTTAACGAGGAAGTAAAAGGCACTTTGTGCTTTCTTTAAAGGAAAGCTGGACATTGGCGTTGACACCATTCAGCGTGGAGTAGAGGGACTAACCTATCTTCTTACTGAGAGCTCCAAGCTTATGGTAAGGATACCTTTCTGTAAGGATTTCAGGAATGCACTCAGGAGATGTCATCTGAACACTCAGACCTCTGAAAATACTGGTGAATGGGGAAAATGTAGCTCAAAATTTTGATGACATGTATTATTTTAATTTCAGAGAAAGGTGTCTCAGACTGTTGTCTTATTGAAACACTGTTTTTTTGCGGATGACTGGAATTTGTATTCAGTGTCTGAAGCTAAACTTGACAACATTTTAATAGCGTAATTTACTCCATATAGAGAAGCATCCTTCAGGATTGAGCTCTAAATAATAAAACTCAAGCCAAGATTTTGTTGTCCAGCTACTGTACAGGACATGGGCTGGACTAACCCCCTATTCATCATTCCTTGTCTTTGTCTCATGTGGTGGGTTTGAGGGCTTTTTCAGCTCCTGCTATCAAAGTTTTGGGTGGGTGTAAGCAGATACTAAAAGAATAGTAGCTGGATAGTGACTGTTTCTGTTGTAACTTGATAAAGTAGAATATTTGAACAATGACTACATGGAGAAGGGATACAGAGACAAGCAATGCCAGATTAAACTCAGGCAAGTGTTGCTGCCAAGAGCAGGTGGGGAGGGGGTAGAAATGTTGTGGAGCCTTTCCTTAAAGCAAGGGGACTTGACTGACAGGTTGCAGGGTATTGTGGTAGAATGTGCCTGCTCACAGACTGTGTTTGCAGGGTGGTGCATTGGAGAGGTACGATGGCCTTTTCCATGGAGTCAAGAACTGCTGCCCCAGTGCTGGGCCAGGCTGCTGCAGTCAGCACAAGGACCTGGGGCAGGAGCATCGTGCCTGGTGCTGCTCACACCACATCACTGCCTGCTGTATGGAGTCTGGATATCAGTGGCACAGCAACAGCCCTGATAAATGGATTCCTGCAGTGTGTCCTGCCTCGTGACACAGCTTGGGCACTCCCCCACGCTGTGTTTTGCTCTCTGATGCAAAGGCTTTACATGTGAGGGGGTTGAATGTTCTTCTTTCAAAAACTGATCTACAACTGTCCAGAAACTCATGCAAAATCTGCAGTAATACGTCAACATCTGTAAATCCCTTAAAACCTGGATATTTGTTTTGTCCGAGGTGTAGAATTGTACTTGGACATTCCTGCAGGACAATAACTGCACCATATCATGTGTGATGTTTAGTTACGGTTTTATTTGGTTTTTGACAAATAATGATGATTACACAGTTCCATATTAAGGCCTAAATTGTTATTTCTAGATTTCTGAGATTGACTTTCAAGATTCCATTCATGTTCTGGGATTCTCAGATGAATTGAACAAATCCTTGCTCCAGCTGTACCTTGACAACAGGAAGGAGATCAGGAGCATTCTTGGAGAGCTGGCACCAAGGCTGCCCAGCTACCACAATCTGGAGTGGAGACTGGATGTGCAGGTGATTTCCCTGATGCTTTTAGTATTCCATATTTTACTTCACGTTTTTTTAACATCATAAAAAACTTATAAACACTGTAAAAGTAATTGAGGTAGCAGTACTTCACATATTTAAACCTGACATGACTTTGTTAATGCCTCACAGCCAACCAGTTGTAAGATGAACAGGATATGCAATGATGCAAAGTACTTGTTGTCTGATGAAAACTGGCTTCATTGGTGTTTTAAAAGTGTTAGCATATACTAAATATATTTGGTCTTGATTATCACCTAATTTTCAGAAATATTATGAAAGCATTGATTAAAGTGGATTAGTATTCTGTAATGATGAAACTCAGTAATAGCTTGTGTGTATCTTTAATGTGGATAAAAAGGGTTTCTGAAGAGTCCTCCAAGCAGATCCTGCAAACCTGGTGGGAACTGTAGGTACAAACATCAATAACCATTGTTTGTTTCCCTGTTCCCATCTCACCAAAGCTTGCAAGCAGAAGTTTGAGACAACAGATCAAGCCTGCTGTGACCATGAAGCTATATCTTAACCAGAATGAAGATCAAACTGCCCAGGTGTTGCAAACTGACCCTGCTACCCTTCTCCACCTGATCCAGCAACTGGAGCAGGCACTGGGGGAGATGAAGACGAACCACTGCAGGAGAATAGTGCGCAACATGAAATAGCCTCAATTCCTGCCTTTGTGAAACAGCTCAAAACAATGCTCACAAATACATTTGGAGGAAAAATAAACATCTGGATCAGATGAACTGCTTTCCTGTGCCAGGATCTTGAGCCAGTAATTACAGGCCAAATGTCCTCCACTGCCAGCTTGGCAAATCTGACGGATACAAGATAGGTAATTGGTACTTGCAAATGAAGGCACTCAGCATACTATGCTGAGAATTCCTTTAGCTCTAAATTACTATGGATCTGCTTGAGCTTTCCTACCTTTGGTAGAACTGTCTCAATATTATTGAAGCTGCATATTTACTGTTACATTTATAAAGTAATTTTTTCTCTTTTGCTTCTCTTCTGAAATATTTCTTAAACCCTTATACTGGTGGGAATGATGCTTTGCAGGAAGACTTCTCCCATGTAGACTCAGGTGTGTGTAAAAGCCGATGTGGGACTGCTGCCCTTTTCCTCCAGAGGACTGGGTCAGTGGGAGCTGATGTGACGCTGCTGCTCTGCCCTTCTCACCTATAATTGAGCTAACACTCCTGTTATCAGAGCCTGATGTGACACTGCTCCTCTGCCCTTCTCACCTATAACTGAGCTAACACTCCTGTTAGCAGAGCCTGCTGTGACCCCACGGGACAGCTGAGGCTTTCTGCAGCCAGCCCAGTGGCCTGCACTGGGTTGGCAAACTGGTTATATGTGAAGGTGGTCTGAAAACTTGCAAAAGCGGAGCTGTGGGTGAGGAGGCAGGCTAAGAATAGTGTTAACTCTGCTAACTCTGGTCTCTGTGCCCTGATGCCATGGTTTGTGTTCCCCTGTTCGGATAGTGCTCATAAAGGTAAGACCAGCTATTGCAACCAAAATTATGCTTTTCCATTGTTAAGAAAATGTCTAATAAAGATGATGTCAAAAGTCACTTTTCAGTTGTATTCTAATGCAGTATTTTGCAGCTTTTGTGAGTAAGATTAAATGGTTTTAGTAATCCATGCTTTAGTGTCACTGCTGAGGGTGCTGGCAACCTACGTGTGTCACATCCTGAAGCATGTGCTAGCTTGAGAGGGAAAGGGTTTCCCTTGGGGATCCTGAGTAAAATGGACAGTTGAAGGCAGATGTTGAGGATGGAAAATGAAACACCTGTTTCCCTTTACAAAAAAATGACCTCAATTGAGGATGGTCAAAGTTAAACTTTGAAGCTGGGTGAAACTGAGAGAAACTCAAACTCTGACAGTGATCCACAAACAGACAAGAGAGAGGGAGGGAGAAAGATTCTTTACACCAAGTGTGTTGCTTTTGAATTTTTACCTTTCAGTTTGTTCTGGGGGAAGAACTGAGCCTGGAAAAGCAGCTGCTTGGCAGCAGGATTTGGGCTTCATTATTGGAAAGGCAGATTTGCCTTTAGGTGAGGTTGGAACTGGTCTAACTACAGCTCTGCAAGTTCTCCCTTTCCTTGTTTTCACAGCACCTGTGACAGCTGCCCAGGGCTTGGCACCTGCAGTGCACGGGCGAGTGTGACCATGCAGTGCTGCCCACACCTCGGAGGGCAGCTGAGGCTGGGCAGGGAAAAGGCATCTGCATCAGTAACCCAGGGATACTGGTAAAATAAGAATTCACTTTTGCATCTGGTTTTTTAGATTTTTCAATCTGGATTTTTTCAGTTTTCTTGTAAACTCCCAAGTGAAAGGTGGCATATAAAGCTATATTTAATATATCTTCTCTAATGAATTTGCACTTGCTTTATAGAAACAGGATATGGAGACTACCAAATCTGATTATAATTAAACTACTAGCTTTGTTTCCTGGCAAAATCCACATCAGGAAACCCTCTCCATGTACTGCAGTTTATTGACACAGAAGGAAACTGTATCTTTCTGCAAGTTAAATGAGTTATGCTAAAAAAGCATGTTTTGTGCTGGTGTGATTCTCAGCACTGCCCTGTGCTGCCCTCCTGCCCTAAGGCAGCAGAGCTGAGCCAGGCTGCTTTTGCTCTGCAGCCACTCCCTGTTTCAGCTCTGTTGGCCAGGTCACTATTCTGGGCTGTTGGCAGTGTGCACACAGGGACTCAGGCTGACAGAGCTACTCCAGAACAACTCAGGCCAATAAGATCACACTGGATTATAATAATTTCTGTATTTCTTTTTGTAATTCTGGACTTCAACTCTGAAGCAGCAGATCAGGTCCCACTTTATCTTACATGACTGTTTTGGGACTTACTAATCCCACTGAATTTGGCCAAAAATCATCTTCCAAATCTGCCTCGAGTAACTGAAAGTCTGAAAAACTGGCAGATTTTCTGTCCTTTAAACATTACCACCATTTCCACAAACGAGAATTTGTTTCCTAATTCATTTATGTGCCAAGTCAGCTATATTAGCAAACCTCATTGTCAGCAGCAGTTTGAGATGCCTGAGACAAACCAGTGATGGGCTGTCTCTGTATTTGTTCCCCTGACTCTTGGGAGGGGGCACACTGAGTTCAGTAAAGAGGCTGAAACAAGCAGTTGGAGCACGGGGACTTCTGATGTGGCTTCAGCTGTTTGCAAACTCCACAGAGCAGCTTTCCTGGGATCCCACTGCAGAGCCTGTCACCTGCCTTTGCTGGGGAGGAGCAGTGTCTGCACGTCCCCTTCTGCTGCCTCTGCTCTAAGCACAGTCTCTGAGACTCAAACACTGCTGCAATTTTTTGGTTACAGCAGCTGTTTCCAAAATGAATGTCTGAGCAGTCATCTACAGAGATGTGCACACAGCTTGCTTGCCAGCAAAATTACATCAACTTATAAAACAACATGAACTGAGCTGACAGAATGGGGTTTTTTGCTAGCAGCCTGCCCACATCAGAGGTTTTGCTGTCTGAGGAGGTATATGCTTACACAGCTGCTTTGAGGAAACTCCTAATAGACACCAGGTCTTTGTATTAAACCACAGCACAGTTGCCTACATAGGACATGCTTTGCATGCATCCTGAGAAGCCAGCCACAGTCTCCAAGCTGCCAGTCACCTGAGGAACAAACAGCTGGGAAATGCACACAGACAAAAAGAAGCACTGACCCCTTTATTAACAAACACACTATATTTACTGAAGTATACTTTTGCAGAAGTCTCTTGAAAAATAGATTAATACAGGACTACTAGCAAGAGCAGAATACACAAAAAAGTTTATCAAACAATAGCCTGTTGCCTTAAGAACAAATAAAAATTATTTGCATGACAAATTGTATGTTTTTAGAGTGTAAGTATGTGTGTGCTGCACATATATAACTTTTTATAGTGAAACTCCATGAAACATGTTTACTGTTCCGTTGTGTTCCTTCTTCTCCATTATTTAGTTTGAAGGAACACAAGTCTTCTGTACCCATGTGGCTCTTCAGCTGACACACAGGGAGCACCCAGCAGTAGTTACTGCCCACCCAGAGTCTCCTTGCACAGAACAACCTCAAAGCAGGGGCAGAGCCCAGGCTGTGCTGTGTCCCTGTGCCTGGGTTACCCAAAAGCACAAGGCTTGCCCAGGGACCCTGAATGTTTTCTTTTCTAACAGATGTCACACATGCAGCTTCACCTATGTGGGCTTTCTCAGAAAAATTAATTTATGTAGGGCTTCGACACAGAGCAGCGATGGATCTGGATTAAAAATTACAACACGTGGTATTGTTTCTTTTAACTCATTAGATGCTCATCATCTAAGGGTACATTTAAAAGTGCACTTATTTCTTCTGAGCTATTTGCTTGGGTTTCCACTGAAGTACAGATTGAACTTGCTGCTAGAAAATCCACAACAAGTAGGGTATACTCAAAGTACTGGACTTCAGTAAATCCTTCAGTTGAACAAAAAAACTCTGTACTACTCAAAAACATTTGAACAGCACATTAAATTGAGAAAAATAATGTTATTGTCTTACTTTTTTACAACATAGGATCTTGTAACAAGAATAAAAAAGTAACGATAAGGAGCTTTTTATGTCACATTAGTGGTTTGGTTCCTATATCACTTAATACAATCCCACTGTGATGGAAGTGTCCTTGTCTTTTATGGACTTGAACATATTGAATCATTTGTTCTAAAAGCTGGTGGTCATATCCTATTTTTGTGTCCAAAGAAGGAAGCTAGTATTTCTAAATAATAATAGCAACAATATGAGAATTTATTCTTACAGTTTTAATCACTTTCAGATTTGTGGAGAAAAGTGCTTTAGCCTACACCAAGTGGTACAATAGCAGATAATTGTATTATTCAGTAAAAACTGCAGCTGAAATACATCTCACTGAAGACAGTTCTAGCTGTAATAAATGCTGCTTAGGTTTAGAACAAATGTGCATGTACTCCCAGGATGCCACACTCTCTTATGAAAGTGGTCTAATTAACACAGACGAGATGGCTTCATGAATGAGACTGTCAGAGCCTTCCCTTGAACGGGCTTCTCACCTGGAAAGGACTGAACAGGTAGAGGGGTGTGGGGTGTCTTTACTCAGGGATACAGAGGCCTGGAGGAAGCAAAAAAAAACCCTTTTAAAGGCTGTATGAAAAATCACTCACGTTCAGATTATTATCTGTGCAATAACCACATGCACACACAATCTCATATCCAAAGGTTTTAAATCAGGAAACTGCAGGAAAGAGAAAAAAGATATGTAATGTCTGCCTAGCCCTGGAGAGTGGGTGCTGTGATGAGCACAGCTCTCTGAGCTTGTTGCAGCAAGGAACACAGTAAGGAAGCAGCAGAAGAATGGTACAAAAGATAACATGGAAAATTCTTCGGGAAGGGAAGCATAAAAAAGTCTCAGGAGTACTGGGTTTCCTGATCAGAAATGCAGCATATATGGGGGAAAATAACAAAAAAAGAACACAAAACAAAGAACAGCAAAGGAAACCCCAAGGAGATCTGCTGAGCCAATGGAAACATGGACAGGAAATGTGAGGAAAAGTAAACGAAAGGGAATATTTGTTGAAGCAAGGCAATCAGGAAGCGCACAGGATCTGTTCCACAGAGCTAGCTGATCCTGATCCAAGCTCGGGTACAGGCTTAAACCACCACTCTCAGAATCTGCATTACCAGTATTACATGTAACGCTGATTAAGAGACAAATGTGGTTTAAGTCAGGCTCAAGTCCTCTGCTGGAGAAGCCAAAAGCAGTTCAGAAAAGTTCATGCTTCTTTGTAAGAAATAAGTATGTTCAGGAAAAAAGTTACCTAAGATTTTTCTAGTGTAGATTCTGATTTGTGAGGAGGATGTATTCTTATCGATCAGCATAGCCTGGAGTCTGTCCAAAATGCAGAAATAAAATGACAAAATGCATTACTTAAATTAATGTGTTTGTGTAGCCAACGTGTTGTATCTCTATATCTCTACAGTGTCATAAAAACACTGTATGCTTCCTTCTGTAAAAACCAACAGTGAAGTTGGAAAGCGAACAACATTGTTCTTTATTGACACAGCTACTGAATTTAAGCTGGTCATACCACCATTCAAAAGTTGTTCCAAGTGCACCAGAAAATGAGACAAGATTTAAAAAAAATTATATGTATTAATTGTAGAAAACCTCAGCAATGCATTTTG